GGCGGTGGGTGCTGACCGCGGGGCCCCGGCGGTGGGTGCTGACCGCGGGGCCCCGGCGGTGGGTGCTGACCGCGGGGCCCCGGCGGTGGGTGCTGACCGCGGGCACGCTGCCCCGGCACGGTTCTCTCACGGAGCTGTTTTCCCGCAGGGGTCCCCTCTCGCGGGTCAGGGGGGCGGCCGTGTCGCAGCGAGCGGTGCCGCGCCGGGCGCTCCTCGCTCTTCCCCTTCCCTTTCCCCGCCCCAGCCGGGCGGACGGCGGTGAAGTTTGTTCCTTTTCCTCCAGACGGGCAGGGAGGGACTGTTTCTCTCCCCTAGGTCCTTTCCAGCAGCGAGGCGTTAGTTCCCCCTGACTAGTTAGTTAGGTGCTGAGGGCCTTCCCCTGAGGGGGCTCAGCCTTGCGCCCCCGGGGGCGCCGTGTCTGAGGGGTCATTCCCCACCTCAGGACCCTGCAGTGAGGGGTAATTCCATTCCACACACACCCGCTCAGGACCCTGCAGTGAGGGGTAATTCCCCACACACATGTGCTCAGGAACACGGTAGAAGGAGTAATTCCTCCCCCCCACGTGTGCTCAGGATCACACAATGAAGAGCATTTAACCCCCTCACATCTGTATCCTTCCGGCCTTGAAATGAGAGGGAATTCCTCCCAAGTTGCTAAGGATCAAGCAATAAGGGGGAAATCAGAGGACCCTGTAGTGCTGGGTATAGCTGCCCTGTACTGAGCACTGAAATGGGATATAATCATTATTGCCCAAAGCTAAAGGGAGAAAAGAGAACTTTTCTCTTGAGTGACCTTCCTCACACACCCTGCTGCGGTCTCTACCTGCTTTAAAGAGCACAAAAATAAGCAAATAACACGATTTAGACCTTTCCTGTGTTCATGTCTCCCTCACTTGCAGCAGTGTCATGAGGCAGAGCTTCTTTCCTGTTCCATGTTTGAGGAATCTGGGCCTCTTGCAGTGTTTGGGTTTATGACCCCCAAGAAAACCAGCCTCCTCTGACAACAGCCCCTGCAGATGCTATTTATGTAGTTTACCTGCTTTCCCCTCATCTGTGCTTGATGAGGGGGAGAGAAGCCAGGTAATAATTGCTCCTCAGTATGTAGTAATTCATCTGTGACACGAGGGGGGTTTTGGTTTCATTTTCTGAGATTCAGTTTGCTCTCAGACACCTGGGTGCTGTTGGCTGTGCACACAGTTACAGAAATCAGGTGTGCAAGTAGGTGAAAGTGAGGCCTGTTGTTATTCCACCACTCCACTTGCTTTTCCTCTTAATGTTTTCAGGTTTTTTCCCCTCTGCTCTCCCTCTTTTACCTTCATCCATTCCTGTTCTCACTGCTAGCACAAGTTACATGGCCAGTAGGGAGCAGGGCCTCATTTTAGTTGGTCTGGTTTAATTCTGAGACAGTATTTGTACAGGAATATACTGAATTTATTCATTCCCTGTAGGGAATAAATACAGAGGTGGACAGGGATTGTTCCTAATAGAGTTTTTATATCTTTTACCCAAGTGCTGTCTTGGTATTTTTTTCTTATGAGAATTGTTTGTGTAAGAGCAGCCACTGAGTTACCTTTTTAGCCTGTCTTGTACCTTCTAAGAGTCATGCAGACTCTTCTCTACATGCCTAAGACCCTTAGGTGTGACCAGCTAAACCCACAGAGCACAGGAGTAAATTCTCGGGTGCTTGGGGTTGGATTGATCTCAGCTATCTGGAATCTTCTGAAAATTAGGTTTTTAGTCCAAGGGAGATTTTCAGGTGCTCAGGACTGTTAAAAGGAAGACCAGAGGCCCCCTCTGGGTGATTATCCCCTTCTGTGATAGGTAAGTAAGGTGATCTGCCTGGTTTTAGTGACTGAAAGAGTGTGAGTTAATTTTTTGGTGGCTAAAATTAGAGAGTTATGTCTGTTTTGTTATGAGAGAGA